GTTCTTCAGTGATATGGCTTCTTATGCACTGGGCATCGCGCTTATCTATTATGGTTATTCTGAGCCGAGTGAAGTTTTCACGTAAGTTTTCTTCTTTCATGCAAATAAAGGAAATGGGAGGTGCTGAGTTATACTTGAAAAATTATTTGCATTAATGTATTCACAAAGTAAACAATCCTTCGGACAAGGAAATGAACACGCAACAGGTACTAATTTGAGGGTATTATACAACTCAGAAACGAAAAGTTTGTATAGCGCGTTCGGCTTTTTGTGCATCCCAGTAACATTACTAACACAGTGTTTCATTTTATATCTTCGTCCTAACGTTATCGGTTTTCCTGGATGGTGTTAATTATTCCTGATATTTACTTTGATATACCTAGAGAACCAGTACAGTAGCCTTTCCGTATCTGTGTTGAACTGTTTTTTTTTTTTTTTTTGATAGTTTTTAAGATAATCACGCTTGTAGATATGTGGGGAAAATAAGCATAAACTGTTGTGTACAAGCCATACGGAAGCATGTCTTCCTAAGGATGGATTTCAACATATGCGTATATGTAAGAGCGGTAAAATACACCGCATGCGTCATCCAAGAACATGGGATGAATGACAGAGTGTGGTTTATGATAAAAAGATTCGCTAAGCTCCTCATTACGCCCTTTTTTTGGGATCCGCCATCTTTGCTAATTTGTTAGCTGCAGACGCATATGTTTTTGTCAATAGCTTTATATATCACGATGAGGCAAAGATTAGGCAGCTTTTTTATGGTTATTTTGACGTGACTATGTGTTGCAGTGCAGCACTGTCAAATACATCAGCTGGATGGGGAGTGATTGTGGTGGCCGGTGTTTTGAATACATTCGTCATGGCATCGCCAGCCTCCGATTCAATATTCCGAATAATTAATGCCGGAAATAACACCGGAAATATCGATGAAGGGGCACGCACGGTGGGAAAATAAATCTAAATCAGAGAGCAAACTTAGCTTTGTGAGCTCTTCGTCATAATGTATTTGCACTGCAAACACAAATTTCAGCATCACTAAATACATTGGGGTAGGCCGACAAGACCTAAAAATAGGTAGAAAATAAACAGGCCTTAAACTGAAAGAAGAAGAGGTAGGACTAGAAAGAGAAGGCAGTGTTCTACGCAAGAAAAATTGTCTGCTCAAAAAATGAAACTTGCCTTATACTGGAAAAGAACTGAAATTTACTGCAAATGCATCCCGATCCTTTCGACTTCTACAACTGCCTTATTTGGTAGAATCGTATTGTATCTTACAGAAATCTTTTTACCTGAGTGGTCGCGATCGCCTGTCGTATTAAGTACTCACAAAAAGTACTTGTAAAGATCTGTATGTGTAAAATTTTTACTTTGATCTTCATAAAAATAAACTGCAAATAACTTTTTTGTGTGCTAGAAAAATCAGTAATGTTTATCATTTAGGTGCTGGAAGGAGATGTACAGTTCCGAAAGGTGCATTTTGCCTATCCAACAAGGCCACAACATAGTGTTCTCAGTGGCCTCAACTTAACAGCATATGCGGTAAGTTCCACGTTATCGCTGAGTCTGAAACGTTCCCTTGCGTTCCGCACAGGTAAAAAATTTTGCAGCATCTGAACAGCCTATAATGAGTGTGAATGATTCGGGGTTATTATGAAGTGAACTTTGAGGGACTCACTGGTACTCATGAGAGGACCATTGGAGGAGCAGTGCTTGAGTAAAAAGTCGCTGAAATATTGGGGGTCTGGCGTTCGAGAAGCATGGGGTATTGAATACGAAACATGCGCCGAGCAGGGATGACTTCGGC